TTTCCATGCCCCCATGACGTTTGATGTGGCCAAAATACATCGACTTTCGAGTCAGGATGCTGTTTATGAGCCAGTTCTCCTGGATGTTTGACACATTTAGAATGCCAATGTTTTCCCTCTTCTTTATCCATAGTATTCTGAAAATTTTCTGTAACATTTTAATTCAAATTGTGTATGATAACCTCAGAAAATTCTCCATCATTGTATTTTTTCCCATTCGCTCTGTCACAGTTTCCTCTGTTACTAAATCAAATTAAAACATAAATGTGGCGATCGTTTGCCGGGCGTGGTTTTATTCCATTGTGCCCAGGGCATCTCGAAGTCTGCCGTCTTATTGTTTGCTCGGGCCGGTTGCTTTTTCACGACCATCCAATCTGCTACTTCTATTTCCTGGTGGGCCAATTTCCCAACGTCCAATTTCACAATATGATCCGGCGAATAATGATAATTATTTCAAACGAAATCAATACTTATAAAAAAAAAGGGAAATCACAGCATAGAGAGACATTTAGGATTATAACAGAAAGGGGATGGGATATAAGGGAGTGAAAAAGAAAAAAAGTCTGGGATTTATGACGTAAAATTTGACGAGGTACAAATAGGGAAGCACCCGGAATATAATGTGATTGCTCGTGTCAAACCGTTCAAAGACATATGGAGTATCGAATGGGGTTAGCTGCACAGTTTTTTGCCACTCATATATCTGTGTTATTTGGCTGTCTCAGCGTTTCGAATTTGCTGTTTCCTTGTGAATTTTTACACTGTCATATATGGCTATGTCTAATACGAATGTTTGTATGAAATAGTAATGGTAAAGTAGCGTGTCCGTCACACCGTTACAGTGTTTTGTTTCAAGTGCAAGTGTGTGTTTTTTCCACTTGGTAAGTAAAAGCTTGTGAATATGGTTTTTAAACTTTTCATCCGCAGACACTTTTTAACTTTACTTATTTCTGTCCTCCCCGTGTGGGTTCCGGTGCCCTATTATAGGGAAAACAAGAATAGACCCACTGCCTACGCAAAAGCATATAGTAAGATTCGACTAATTGGGAGCTTCCTTCAAAGTCGGAGTGCATCTGCTTGAGAGGCACCGAACCAGCAGTCTGCATACAAATGAACCAGATCTGAAAAACGGATGCACAAGCAACATTCAGGTTCTCAGGACTGCAGTCCAGAAGTGGATGAACAACCAGAATATTTTGCCACAGTTTACAGCTGGTAAACGCGAAGAAGAAGAAGAATTTCTGTCCGAATCCGTTTTTACTTTAGATTAATACATATTGAATCTATAACGTTTAATTAAAGTAACCACTTTAAATAAGAGGGCTTTAGTAACAATCGGCATAGGCTTTGATAAAGTAGAAACCAGATAATACTTAGAGAATTAAGTAACAATTGTGATAGAGATCGATAAAGTAACAACAAGATAAGACTCAAAACGTTGTAAAACAGTTTCGGTGGAACTGGGTAAGATAGCAATAAGACACTACGAATGGGGTTAAGTATCTTTTGGGAAACAGATGGCAAAAATAATAAGTTGAAACGAAGAGAGTTAAGAAATGTAAATAGTGAAGTCCGTTTTTTTTTAACGACAGGTACTGAATAAGTAAAGTGAAGTAAACGTCCCTTTTCCATGCCTTTAGGCGTATTGGGCATATAGGGCTAGACCTACAATTTTATAGACCAATTGGCACAAGATGGGTGATGTCGTCAGCATCACACCGGCCGTCTTTCCTTCCCAGGACTACACCCTGTACCTACTCAAGGCTGGGTCGACCTTGGAGTCAAAGTCAATTTTGAAAAAAGTCTGCTCCGCCAGGGAGCGAACCCACGACCTTCCAATCGGGATGCGAGCGTCCAGTGGCTACGCCACGGCGACTCCCGACCGGTACTGAACAAGTTAACAAAATCGAGGAGATCTTGCCTGATGAATAACTCACAGCACTGGTAAAAGGGATGTTAAAACAGCAAATTAAACGGGGTGTTGCCAAACATGAACACTCCACGGGTACACGCTGCGGGATTTACTGGGGAGAGAATCTGAACACTTACGTATTGAGTGGTGCGACGTGCAATGAGGATGATCTGTCGACTAACTAACTAACTAACTAACTAACTAACTAACTAACTAACTAACTAACTAACTAACTAACTAACTAACTAACTAACTAACTAACTAACTAACTAACTAACTAAGTAACTAACTAACTAACTAACTAACTAACTAACTAACTAACTAACTAACTGACTGACTGACTGACTGACTGACTGACTAACTAACTGACTAACTAACTAACTAACTAACTAACTAACTAACTAAGTAACTAACTAACTAACTAACTAACTAACTAACTAACTAACTAACTAACTAACTAACTAACTAACTGACTGACTAACTAACTAACTGACTAACTAACTAACTAACTAACTAACTAACTAACTAACTAACTAACTAACTAACTAACTAACTAACTAACTAACTAACTAACTAACTAACTAACTAACTAACTAACTAACTAACTAACTAACTAACTAACTAACTAACTAACTAACTAACTAACTAACTAACTAACTAACTAACTAACTAACTAACTAACTAACTGACTAACTAACTAACTAACTAACTAACTAACTAACTAACTAACTAACTAACTAACTAACTAACTAACTAACTAACTAACTAACTAACTAACTAACTAACTAACTAACTAACTAACTAACTAACTAACTAACTAACTAACTAACTAACTAACTAACTAACTAACAAACAAACTAACTAACTAACTAACTAACTAACTAACTAACTAACTAACTAACTAACCAACCAACCAACTAACTAACTAACTAACTAACTAACTAACTAACTAACTAACTAACTAACTAAAAAAATAACTAACTAACTAACTAACTAACAGTTATATCTATGCAAATCTAAATCATAATTTTAGGTTTTTCGTCTGGGTTTCGGGGTCCCCCCCCCCCTTTTTTTTAAAAGGGAGAAACGGATAGACCAGTAAGTGAATAAATCATCTTTATCCCCACGTTAATGTATCAGTGTCGTCATGGACAATAAACAGGGCTCTATAAAATAAGATAAATACATATTAAATGCAAAGGGACATAGCTACAAATACCAACATTAGAGAGAAACTTGCAATAAGACTATGTCTAGATTCTTTGATTTTTTGACAGACAAAGAATTGGTTCCGCCAGCAAGGGAACATGCAGCCAGGTGAAACTGCACATGAAACGTTTACAGCAGAACATCTGGGAGAAAGGCGAGACAAAGACCAAGAAATAGATGGATAAATGGTAATGCTGAAACCTGCCACAAGATGAACAAATCCACCACTCAAGCCACCCGAGATGCGCAAGATAAATATAGAAAATCACGACACTGGACTACAAAATGGTATCAGAAAGACCATAAAAGAAGAAGAAGGCGAAGAAAAAAAAAAAATGCTTATAGAAATACTTGCCCGGCTCGCTAGCGTAGCTGGCTAAACCGGACTACGCGGTGACAGGGTGACGAACTCCTTGTGGTCCGGGTTCACGCCCAGGGAGTAGGCAGCAAAGCCACATTTATCCCATGCGATATCCATAATACCGAGCCTAAGGGTTAACAACTCATGGCTTCTGCATAGAAATACTTAGCAAGTATGTTGTGCAAGATCACTAATTGGGGGTGCTTCCTTCGAAGTCAGAGTGCATCTGTCTGCGGAGCGAGAAGCATACAATCTGCATACAATCAAGCCAGATCAATAAAACGGATGTGCACGCAAAATTCAAATTCTGGAAGAAGACCAAAACCCAGGAATGGATGAACAGTCAGTGCTTTGGAGTTTACAGCCGGTGAATTCTAAGCATCTATTATATGTGACCTAAGAACCAGACCTGAAATCGTGTCTTAAATTGCCCTGACAACCTCAGTCGTCGACAAACAGCAAATATGGAGATAAAACATTTCAAGTAAAATTAAGATCCGACTGCTCAGAGCTCTAGATATCAGTACGTTGGCGACACTGAATCACTTTTAACTACAATGAAAAGGCTGAACATGCAATGGTACTGACATGTAATAAGATCTAAAAGCCTCTCAAAAAAAAAAAAAAAAAAACTATAAGGCTCAGTAGAGGGGAAGAGGAGAAGAGGCAGACCAAGAAAGACCCGATAAAGAACTTGGCTGGCTGGACAGGCATTAAGCATGCAACGATGAAGTTCATCGCATGTGACCGCCAAAGGTGGAGGGCGCTGATTAGATAGTCAACAGTAACTGATGACACAACAACAACACGAAGTGTTACGTTCTGATGATGATGAACACTAAGCAGAAGAAGAAAAAAGAAGAAGAAAAACAAGAAGAAGAAAAAGATCTCTCTTGTCACAATTTTACGTTCATCGGAGAATGTAAGTGTTCACGTTTTTGAACGTTTTTGCACTGATGGCATAGAAAGTAAGTAAAGTAAAGGACCCTTTTCCACGTCTTTAGGCGTATAGGGCATATAGGGCTAGACCTATATTTCTATAGATCAATCGGCACAGGAGGGTGATGTGGTCAGCTTTACACCGGCCGCTTTTACTTTTCCGGGACTGCACCAGGTCCTACTCAAGGCTGGGTCGACCTGGGAGCCAAGGTCATTTTTGAAAAAAGTCCGGCTCCACCAGGGAGCGAACCCACGACCTTCTGATCCGCGACTCCCGATAGCATAGTGTAGGCCAAAAAATAGTTCTGACAAGATTCACTTTAGTACTCCGGGGTATCTGCTTGTATGTCAACAGGGGAGATAGTTGCCCCATTACTTGATTAGCTTTGGCATATGTCGAGCTAATTTCTCTGTCCAGTTTTTCGTCGGATGTGAAAATTGCTCTCAAATACTTAAATTCTTCTGTTTGTCTTGGGGTGTTTTTTTTTTAATTTGATTTCTAAATTGTCTTTCTGTCTTCCTATCACCGTTGTCTCTGTCTTCGTAGTCTTTATTTTCATTTTTATTTTCTATTTCAAGTAGGTTCCTTGATGAAGTAATTGCAGTAAAGTCAAAAATAAAGGACTATTTTCTCTACCAAGGCGAAATTAAAACTACGTGTTCGTTTACATTACAGGAAAGGTTTGAGGTTTCTAAACAACGGATCAACATCATGGCACACGGGTAGTAACCCATAAGTGCTCCGTTTTTCTTCTAACTCAAGTCTGCAGCACTGGCGAGGACCTTGAAATAATTTTGCCCGGGGATCGCCGTTTGGCTACTCTTTTCGATATCCAACTGCCAATGGATTCTTTCCGTGCGCAACAATGCACACGGGTGTCCGATATCACAACCCAGAGACCAGGGGGGATTATTAAAAGTCTAGTCCACGTGAAAAAAATCCAAGCCCTTATCGAGGATTGAACCCAGAACTTCTTGCATTCAATGCGGACACAATGCCTCGAGACCACGCAACCAACACCCCCCCCCCCTCATATTAACGTAAACTATTACACGGACATGATTATTAAGAGGCTGCGTGACCCATTTCAACAAATTGCACTAGCAGGTGACTGAGTTATACGTTTTTTAAATGTCTAGGATTTCTGGAACGGATTATAGTAAAAGTTTTTATTACAACATGTTATTGCTTGCTCATTTGTATTTTTCTTATACTCGTACAGGACCTGTGCTCATTAAACAGAAGGAACACTCCAACGCGTCTTTAAGCTATCTCAGTTTATCATCTGCTAAACAAGCTATTTTGACTTCAGTCTAATTTAGAGAGCAGATTGCTCATGTAATTTCTGGAGCATGTTCAAATTTTTGGTCATTCCAGACTAAACATAGTCTTCATGAGGACTTCTTTTACAGACAAATGGTACATTAACCCATTATATCTTAATTATGTGTTTAATTACTTGTGTTCCATAGTCGTAGTATTTACTGTATTCAAGCTCCTCGCCGAGATAGAAAGTATTGAAGTAACACATGCTTGCGACTGAAGGCGTTATAAATCGATCAGCACTGCTTTGATGATGGATTTGACTAGGAAGAACCGATTTTTCTTGTCTTCATCGATGACACCAGCACCATCACCACCTCTCTCCAGCCACCTCGCTGAGAGACTTAAGGTGCCATGCTCATCTTCCAGGTTATACAGCCACCACTTTGATCAGCACTGGAGCTCAGCAACTATTCAGAGAATGTTGGACAAACTCAAACACGAAACAGCCACCTTTCAAGCTGGATCCAAACATTGTATTTCGAATTCTTATTACTATTACAAAGCGCCGCCTGCCGTCGAATACACCTTATGTTTAAACGAGGTTTTTGTAAATGCTCAAAACGTCCATGTCAATGGAGAGAGAATGACTAGCGATTTAGCTGACATTTGGCAGAATAGCAGCGTACACAATAATTGTCAACCTTCTAAACAGCCAGATGAGATAGGTTTGTCCCGATGCTGGGACAAAGAGGGTCTGGGGGAAAGGCTGAGGACATCAAGGAGTATACTCAATATGCCGCCAATAATATTTCCTCGCACAGAACCTCTTGCGAATGTTTTTGAGAGTTTTAGTAAGACTCAAGCAGGACTCAAGGCGTCCGCTGATTATTCCAGAAAAAATACATCAACTATGAATAAGGTTTTTTTCACTGACAAATTTCACGATGTGGGAGACACTGCTGAGGCTAGCAGTATTCTGAACTCAGTTGATGGTTTGTATTAGTGTCTGCTTTGTTAACTGTTAGTGGTTTTTCGTTGTTATCCTTCTAAACTTTGCTTGTTTTTCATGTTGTTGTTTATTTAATACCTCTTGCTTTTGTAATTTTCTTGCTGGAGTTGTTCTTTTGCCGTTCTTTTATGTATTCCTCGTCCTTTCCTTCTTCTAATCTTGCTAAGCTTCTTTTAATTTGTATGTGTCCGATAGCATACAGTGGTTGGTAATCTAAATATCAAATAAAATACTTCCTAATGAACAAACACACACACGCACACAGACACACACGCATGACATGGAGCGTCGCAGGTCGCCCCAGCCTAAAATGCGTACAAGGATATATATCCTGGGGAAGTAAAGACGCTAGGAGTATTGCTGACCACATTTCCTTCAGGTGCGAATATGTCTGTAAAAATCTGGGAGCTATTCCCATATGCCCGATGCAAATATAGGCGTGAAAAGAGATCCTAAATTTTACTTTTTTCCATTCTATTATCTTTTTTAAGCTTTTGTTGTTGTTGTTAAAATAGCCATGATGGAAGGTCGTTAGTAACTTTCTCTTATTCTTTTACTTTATATCTATTTCTAGCTTTATACATTTCCAGCTCATGCACTGTATTCCATTCCTTTTCTTGTAATTGCTATGTGCCTGTTTACAGCTTGGTTGCCACATTTGCACCTTTCGGCTGACACATCACACCTTTTTAGTCATTTGTTGACCGAGTTAGCCTTCTGGTGAATTGCGGGCTAAACAAAAATAGCTATCATCTTTTACACGGGGAGTCTTATAAACGGAACAATAGGTAGCATTAATTTATAGCACCATACTGTTTTAAGACAATAGACGCACAGCAAATGCTGCTTACTGAAGAATGTTGAATGCTGAATTAAGAATCGACATCACAGCACTCGGGTCACCCCCATAAGCTCTCAGACCTCATCTCCAGCAGCAAGCGAAAATGTAAAATTCCGATGGTACCAGTAACTGTCTGATTGTACATCCGTCTCGTATTTCTCCTTAGTGTCAAGCATCGGCCAGATACCCTTGTAACTCTTAGCAGTGCTATTCTCCTAAGACCATAACGATCTATCTGTTCCTCGGCATTGTACACTCGCTCCCAAAGGGCCCTCACAAAATTCAGCTTGTAATACATCAGTTCACTAAAGTTTACTAAAGAATCTATGTGTATACCCCCCCCCCTCTCTCTCTCTCTATGTAAATCACTGTGTGTGTGTGTGTGTGTGTGTGTGTGTGTGTGTGTGTGTGTGTGTGTTCGTGTGTAAAATAATATATATAGGATGTGAAAAGAATAATTTAAATGATGTTATAATTATCCCAGTTATTTCTGGAAGCGAAAACTCAATTCCTGAAGAAGTGACCACCACAGACAAGTTTGCTAGCGATAAAATCACGCTGACCAGGATAGAGAACCGGAAGAAAAGACGACACAGGTGGGGACACAACTTCTTCTTCTTCTTCTTCTTCTTCTTCTTCTTCTTCTTCTTCTTCTTCTTCTTCTTCTTCTGCTTCTTCTTTTTCTTCTTCTTCTTCTTCTTCTTCTTCTTCTTCTTCTTCTTCTTCTTCTTCTTCTTCTTCTTCTTCTTTTCTTCTTCTTCTTCTTCTTCTTCTTCTTCTCTTCTTCTTCTTCTTCTTCTCTTCTTCTCCTCCTCCTCCTCCTCCTCCTCCTCCTCCTTCTTCTTCTTCTTCTTCTTCTTCTTCTTCTTCTTCTTCTTCTTCTTCTTCTTCTTCTTCTTCTTCTTCTTCTTCTTCTTCTTCTTCTTCTTCTTCTTCTTCTTCTTCTTCTTCTTCTTCTTTCTTCTTCTTCTTCTTCTTCTTCTTCTTCTTTCTTCTCTTCTTCTTCTTCTTCTTCTTTCTTCTTCTTCTTCTTCTTCTTCTTCTTTCTTCTTCTTCTTCTTCTTCTTCTTCTTCTTCTTCTTCTTCTTCTTCTTCTTCTTCTTCTTCTTCTTCTTCTTCTTCTTCTTCTTCTTCTTCTTCTTCTTCTTCTTCTTCTTCTTCTTCTCTTCTTCTTCTTCTTCTTCTTCTTCTTCTTCTTCTTCTTCTTCTTCTTCTTCTTCTTCTTCTTCTTCTTCTTCTTCTTCTTCTTATTATTCTTCTTCTTCTTCTTCTTTGAGCTCATCGGAAGCAAGCTCCTGCGCCAAGTTCCGGTTGTTCGTTGACCTCTGCCCCTGTGTGGGAAAAAAAGAATAGACGCGCTGCCCCGCCCTCCCCCCTTTTTTCAATGATGTATGCACAAGTTGCAGTCAGTCCAAGTCAGAGTGCATATACCTGAGAGATGAGCAACCAACAGTAGACAGAAAGAGGAATCAGGCTTATGTCTTTCCCGTCTCATGCAGATGTGCTCCGTATTCAAGGAACACATACCTTTGCGTTTCTCAATTTGTGGGTCGCGAAACGTTTTTTTTTTTTTTTTGGGGGGGGGGGGGGGGTGGAACGACCCTTTTAAAGACGTCGCCAAAGACCAACACAAAACACATCTTCTTTGAAGTTATGAAGCAGCGACGAAAAAATTTTTATTGGTTGTCGCCATAACATAATGAACTGAATTAAAGGGTCGCAGCATTAGGAAGGTTGAGAACCACTGACATACCTATCTAGTCGAATTTTATGCTTTTTACTTCGGGGGTGTCTACTTCTCACCCCCCCCCTCCCCTCCCCTCCCCAAAAAAGAGCAATTGAGTCCTGGAACCGACAGGGAGAACTAGCGCCTCAAAGATTTCATACAGACACGCGCGCACGCAAACACACATATATAAACACACATATAAATACATACACACACGTACATACACATCACACACACAATATATTTTTAAAAAGTATAATTGCTGGTCCAAAAGGCAAGAATTGTACGTACATTCTTTCTCGAAAGAATATGTAATACAAACATCCTTGATATTTCAGAACAATATTCAGCTGCCAGCAACTGGTAGACCTGGAGAAAGCTTTCAAGGAAGCCCATTATCCCGACGTGTACGCTCGTGAACTACTCTCAGCTAAGACCAATCTTCCTGAAGACAGAATTCAGGTGAGAGTGTGATTAAATTTCCTTGTTAATGGTGAGTAAGAAAATGTACACATGGTACTGGAAGATCATGTCAGTATATTTGTAAAACCCTCCGGAAGGAAGCGATTGTTACCTAAATGTGCTTTCTCCTGGAATCCACTGATTTTATCGTTATGATTGTCTCTGATTGTTTAAGGCAGTACCTGTCCAGTTAATTCTTTCGGAATTGTCACTAGCAATACAGTTGAGTATCATTTATTTAGTACATAGTAGTCCAGTGTAGTCATTTCATAGTGCATATTTTTTTGTATTTGTGCTGTGTTTGCTGATGAAGGCATAAGTATTATCGTCGTCCCCATGTGGGATGCAATTTTTCGTTATTTGAAGCTCCACCCTGGCTTGTGATTCTGTGTTTCTGTGTAGGATTGTTTCATTTGTATGTGCTGATGAAGGCTCAATAGCCGCAACGTTCACGTTTTGTTTGTATTTCTTATATTGTGAAGCTTGCTGATATACCTTTCGTTCGGTTTTATATCTTTTCTTTATTTAAAAAAAAAAAATGTCCGTTTAATGCATTTCTGACAATGGTCCTAAAGTCGGGCCGTGGACAAGATTGGGGTATTATCGCGTAACTTTCCCGAAGACAACAGTGGGATTGTGTAGCCACAAAGGGGGTATAGCTGTTTGTTGTGTTTTTTTTAAATTTGAGTTTATTATTATTTTTTTTTTAAATTCACCAACCAGCTGGCTTGCTATCCTGTCCACTTGACCTTGACTTCCAGGTAGATGTTGTCTAAGAAAAGCTCCAGAAAATATTACGGAAAGTTAACGTGGTCGGTATGTGACTGGCAACATCTATGAGGTCACAGTCGGTCTATATCTTGCTGAATATACCTCACTATGTGAGAAATACTCCTCTTCTTTTGACGTCTAAGAGTAGCAGCTAGCTACCCGAGTGAAGAGTTCTCAATGTATCGACAAGCAGCGTTATCAGGACATTCTAATTGCAGCCTTTGAAAGCTATTGTTACCTTCTCGTTAAAAGAACGTCACTGCTGCAACTTCCTGGCTTTTGTAATTTCTGACTCGCACTTGATCCCTCTTGACCTTTGGCTTTTGGCTCTGGACATTATTCTTGACACCGAAGACCATCACAGAAGTCACACTTCTTGTATTATTTATATTTCAATGTAGTGACCTCTACTGTCCTCTTCTTCTTTCACCTCTTTGCGTGTCAGCTGTTTCTTCCACTTCACCTTTTTCTTACTAAATTTTTTTTCTTTTCTCCCACTTTTCCTCCTTCCCCAACTCCCCCACTTCTTCATATTCCTTCTTCTCCTCTTCTTCCTATTTACGCCTCTGTCTTCCCCTTAACTTTCTCTTCTTTTCCTGCTCCTTCTTTTCCCCTTTTCATCCTCTTTTACTTCCTCCTCTCCACCCCTTTCCTCCTTTTCTGCCTTCTTCCTCCTGCTCTTTTTCTTCTTCTTTTTTTTTCCTCCTTTTTCTTCTTCTTCTTCTTGTCATCCGCATGGTGGCACTTTGTGTCACTGGCTGTTTATCGCTTGTATGATGTCATGGTGCGGTTCAGCTACCTACCTACCTTACTATTCATAAAAGACCGAGCTTTTATATTATATAATGAATATGCCATTTATATTATTAATATCCAGAGGGAAAACGCACGCACGCACACACACACACACACACACACACACACACAAAACGAGTCAATAATTATAAATGAGAATTTAGGATAAGAACATAAAAAAAGATTGTATTTTGTTAAAAAATTTAAAAAAAATGAAAACCTTTAATAGAACCATTGCCCCGTAAAAAGCAGGTTGTAAAAGGCAGTTAATTGGAGTTTTGCTGAAATCAGGTGTTCTAAGCCGGAAATATTAGATATCGTAGCATCGCTGTAAACCACAAAAACACGTACCAGCCGCCATTTTAAGGCCTAATGAAAGGTCTATCACGTTCCGAAAAACTAATTTCTGGGATGTGAATATAATAAATACGCATTAATTTTCCTGTTATTTAACAAATACCAATAAGCGTCCCATTCACGGCGTGTTGTCTCGGTAGAAATTCATTCTCCTGTATTCTCAATAAATTCAAGTGCTCAGCTAATCATTTCCAAGAGTCATTGACAAATCTGTGATTATCTTGACTGCGAAGATGACAAGTGTGAAGTGGCGTCATAATGTGCTGGGGTCATCGACGTCATCACCGTGGTTACACTACTGTGCTGCCATCTCAGGGTCCCATCATTGATTGGCCCGGAAGTAGCTGTTTCTTTTGACAGGGCGTGTGGTCTGAAATTTGTTTCTTTGACAACTACAGAAGTTTAAGTCCTCTGAGAAATAGTTGTCCAGTGTTTTGTCGTAGTGGACTGGGCAGTTTAGTGGGTGCTGTGTGGTCTGGGGGCATGGCGTCCGCCTCGAGTGCTGAAGGTTCCAGATTCAAGCCCCGGTGAAGGTTAGGAAGTTTTCATGTGGACTTCTAGTAATTTCCCAAGTCTTTGGGTAGTTAAATCGGACGCTCGTGTGTATTCTTGCGCACGTAAAAAATCCCTTGGCAGTTGGAAATCAAAAAAAAAAACAAAGAGTAGCCTAACGGCCCTGCACGGGGAAAATTTTGAGTTAAAAATCTACCCAATGTATTTCAGGATCATCGCTGGTGCTACGGAGTTAGTGCACTGTGCTGAGAATCCTTCAGACTCGGGCTTGAGTCAGAAGTAGAACGGAGCACTTATGGGTTACTATTATCGTGTCGTAATTTGTATCCATCGACTAAAAAGGGACTGTTCAGTTTGTCATAGAGACAGAAGTATAAGTTGAAAGGGGACCGTAGCTTTTAATCTGAAGGAAAAAGATAAAAGTAAAAATATTTAATTGTTGGATAACGCGTATCACACCTCATGTTCCTTGAAAAAATTACATTCGTATTTAATTGTCAACAGTAAGTTATCAGGTACAACACACGTTTGTCTATCCCCCCCCCCCCCAGCCCCCTATCCCAATCTCGTTCAGTTGCTTGATTTCGTAGCGATTCCCACTGGCTGTCCTATGTAATGGGGGTGTCATATGTTGCTTGTTTTGAATGTTTTAAATACATCTATCTTCGACCACAGCCAGCGCCAACGAGCGTAAAAATACAAAAAAACATCAATGACTCGATATTGACAAATCGTCGCTCCTTCGGCGCTTTCCATGGCGCACCTGCACTCCACACAACTTCAAGAAACAACGTTGATGACACAAAATAGAGCGGTAAACTCCAGCAAAAAGTTCTGGGTATTCTTCCACCTTCGGAATGTAATTTTGCTCAAGATTCCAAATGTTGCGTGCACATCCGTTTTACATATCTGCCTCACTTATATGCAGAATGTTGTTTCCTTGCCTCTCATGCAGATGCACTCCGACTTCAAAGGGATCTCCCAATTAGTCTACTCTTACAACGTGCTTTTGATTAGGCACTAGGTCTGTTCTTGTTTTCCACAGGATAGGGCTCCAGAACCCACATAGGGAAGCTTTAACGTATTATAACTGAATCTTTTGTCTTGTAGTTTTTTTCTTTCTGTTTGTCCGCTCCACACTGGACGCCTGCTGCAGTGGGTACGTGCCCTCAAATGCTCTCTTTAGCCCATTCTCTTCAACTGTGCAACTCTTGTACTACTGTAGGAAAGCCAGGAATACACTTTTTTAAAAACAGTTTGACGTGAAACTCTTTTACTAAACTCTTAACAACAAAGCTCTTTGAAAAAGCTCTAATTTGCTCTCATGATGAATTCATTAGCCAAAGTTATATACCATATAAAACCATATAGTATATTTAATTCATAACCATCCTCGGTGACAGAAATTAAAAGTCACTTTCCCCTTGATAGGTCGGCTCTGTGGCTAAGTCGATGCGAACGCTTCGTAATGCCGAGATGCCGGGTTCGATTCCAGCTGCGGGCCATGCGCCTTGCGTTGGTTTCGACAGTAGTATCAAGAAAGCCGACCGTCTAGGAATTAATGGCAAACTACTGGACGTAAATTTGCCTAAAAAAACCACGCAACAGCCAGCGGCTGTTGATGTTGGTTCTGCAACGTCCTTTAAAGGATACGCAACTAACCTTCCCCTTGATAAACCTACTCGACTCATAAGCTAAACTTGAATTAACCTATAAGGCGGGACAATTCAACTAAACTGACTCAGGCGCCAAAATGATGGAGGCTGAGAATCGTTGCGGGCCAGTGGCTTAAACCCCAGCATAGAAAGATCATTAGTATAGCACAGTTAGCAGGTGATCTGCAGGCCAGTGGCCTGAACCCCAGCATAGAAAGATCATTAGTATAGCACAGTTAGCAGGTGATCTGCGGGACACTGGCTAGATCACATGTGGCCCAGGGGCCGCCAGTTGAATAGCCCTGCTATAAGGCATTACAGCGCTTTACACTGGCCAACGGGCCTATTTCTAATGCAAATGAAAAACGGATGCTAGAGCAAATGGTTCACCCAACCACGCCATCATCTAACACGCGACAGGAAACTGGATTTGGTTAATAATCAGCTGACAGTTAATGGCCAAGTTCAAGGGGACATTTTAGGTGATTGGTTCTGCTGTGAGCACAGACTGCCAGGAATTTGAAGCCAATGAAATTAGCTTTTATTTCCATTTGGAACGCCTTTCGGATTATAAGAAATTTCACAAATGTAGTCAAGGAGATTAAACAGGAAAAGATAACAGCGAGAGAGAGAGAGAGAGAGAGAGAGAAAGAGAGAGAGAGAGAGAGAGAGAGAGAGAGAGAGAGAGAGAGAGAAAAGAAAGACTGACAGACATAGACAAACAGACACAGAGAGAGACAGACAGACATAGACAAACAGACAGAGAGAGAGAGAGAGAGAGAGAGAGAGAGAGAGAGAGAGAGAGAGAGAGAGCAGCTTGTTAAGTGTGTGAACAGACTATTAAATAAATCTAGTAGGTTTAAAATTTACTTTGCTGATCATTTCTCATTTCATCTGCATTGCCGACTAGCCCTTTTGCCATCAACAACATAGTGTATCAATCCGTCTGCTTGTACCTTTCCATAGAATGTTGTGCTTCTTCTTCTTCTTCTTCTTCTTCTTGCTTATACCTTTCCATAGAATGCTGTGCTTCTTTTTCTGCTACTCCTCGTAAAAACCGGATCTACGAAGTGCGTGCTCTGAGCTTCATGTCATCTTCCATCGCTTCAGACGTTCCCGGTCCTTTGGATTTTTTCTCCAAGGTGCGCAAGTGTGTAGGAAAATAAACGAAGACAGATTAGCTGCTGTTGCGCCACTGAGTAGTGACTTAATGCATGGTGAGCTAGAAGTCATAGTACTATAGGAGCAAGTTAACAATGCGAAAGCAGGAATATATCTCACGGAGTGCAGAGAATGCTACGACGGGGAGTGATTAGGGCATCTGGCCGACACCCCATGTTCCTTGTATAAATTACTTTCGTAGTTGTTTGTTAATGGTAAGTTATCAGGTACAACACACGTTTGTCTAGCCCCCCCCCCCCACCCCCCGCCCGCCTCCCACCAACCCCTCCCCAATCTCGTTCGAGTGCGTGCTTTCGTTGCGATTCCCACTGGCTGTCCTATGTAAAGTGGGTGTCATATGTTGCTTGTTTTGAATGTTTTAAATACATCTATCTTCGACCACAGCCAGCGTCAACGACCGTAAAAATACAAAAAACATCAATGACTCGATATTAAAAGACTCAAGAATCTTCTCGCGCAGTGTTTTTCTGTTTCTCTTTCCACAGATCTTTCCAGTGGTCACAGCATGTTTCAGTTTCCTTCTTTTAGTAACATGACCACCAAAAAAAAAAAAAAACATATTGTGACTGTCGCTTTCTGATGTTTGTGACAAATTGTCTTCGCCTCGTTTGAAAGATCTGGGTTGCTCTTGTTAGCTGTCTAAGGAATTCTTATTCTTCTGTAAAACCACATCTCTGAGGCCTCAAGAGTATATTCGGTTAGTTTAATAATTTTTCAGGACTCACAACTTTACATTGAAACTGCCTCTATATAGCAGGACTAGACAAAGTTAAAAAAAAAGTAAAGGACCCTTTTCCACGCCTTTAGGCATATAGGGCTAGACCTATATTTTTATAGACCAATCGGCACAAGATGGGTGATCTGGTCAACATCAAACCGGCCGCCTCTACTTCCCGGGACTGCACCCGGTACGCACTCAAGGCTGGGTCGATCTGGGAGTCAAGGTCATTTTTTAAACGAGTCCGGCTCCGCCAGGGAGCGAACCCACGACCCTACGATCCGAGGCCGAGCGTCTAGCCGCTTCGCCACGGGTACTCCCTACTAGACAATTAGCTGAGTTAATTATACCAGATCTCAATACCTTCTTCATCAACTCATATTTAAATGTTTCCAGGTATGGTTCCAAAACAGACGAGCTAAATGGAGGAAGACAGAAAAGACATGGGGACGCAGCTCTATCATGGCGGAGTATGGACTGTACGGAGCCATGGTTCGGCATTCCTTGCCTCTGCCAGAGCACATGCAAGGCCAGGAAAACCAGACTAAAAAACCAGGATATACCTGGCTGCTGGGTGAGAAACAATGTTCTTTTTCTGGCTGCTGGGTGAGAAACAATGTTCTTTTAATGGCTGCTGGGTGA